GTCTTCCAAGACACAAAAGGAGGAAAGAGAATAAAAAGCCCCGTCCTTTCAGCATCATCCAGAGCCCAGCAGCGTGCCTGATCTCATCCCAGGACGAGCTTTGGCATGAGCTAATCGCAAACGCTTTGTCAGCCCCTCACGGTTTCGCCGCTTTGGCAGAACGGCGTCCGCAGGTGTCCAAGACCCTCTCACTTTGCACCTTGTTTGGCAGGATCAGAGGAAACCCACTTGGTTTTACGGTACCAGCTAGACCAATGAGACACAGTTACGGTACTCAGCTGGACAAAATAAGCTCCTCAGTAAAAGGCATAAACCTTCAAAAGCAATATACACATGCACCGAGCTTTGCCACTTACGGGAAAACTAGTTTCACCTACCCCAACACCAGACGCTCCTACAAACCAACGTTATTTCCAGAGGGTTAAAACACCAGTTAACTTGTGGGACAATCTTGCAAAATTTTAAACAGGTGAACCAAAAATAATTCACATCAAATCATCATCACTTGTCACTAAGTTACCCTCAGCAGTTTTACCAAAACCTACTTGTTTTTCCACCATAATTTTAACCATGCCAATGCCAGCTCTGCCGGCCCGGTGCCGAACAGCGCTTTTATCGACACAGCAGCCTCACACAATGGTCTCTTCCTGACAGATCAGAAGACAAAATGGGATTTGCAGCAGAAATATGGAAGACATCGCATACCGGGGACTTTGGCAAAGTCTGGACAAGTTTCATGTTCTTCATCAGCCCATCGCTGTAAGGGCCGGTCCGCAGAGTAACGCTAAGTGGCAAAACAGGCCTGGGCCACACATTGCTGCAGAAACCAAACTTCTACAGGGTTACAGGAGATGCTTCAAAACACCCTTGGAAAGGAGTTAAGTTCACCTAATCCAACCCAGAGACAGTAACGTTTACCTGCCACAGACATTGTGCAGCACTTTGCGTTCATAAAGATCCTCCACAGCTGTGGGTTATGGGGTTTCTCGGTTCGCTGCTGTCATACAGCCACTTCTGGGACTGAAACGCAGCACCAGCGACCTTAGCGAGCCAAGGCCTGAACTTTGTTTCAACCCACATCTGCTAAACCAGAACAACTTCTTCAGCCCGGAGCCGGCTGAACTTCTTTTCCACCAGACCACCGCAGCAAACGGCCGGTTGGAAAAGCCAACCCACGGGGAGGTGCCATCCAGTGTGGTCCTGGGACGTGGCGCTCAAATGGATTACGCGAGCTGTCACATCACAGCCTCGCCAGGCTTTGGTTGGGTGGGAGAGAGACCATATTCCAGCCCGATTGCCCACCCTGGTGGAAGGAGCAAGCCGCAGGGAGATAGGTGCTCTCCCCTGAACTCAGCGATGAGCTGGGCACGGAGCAGAAATTCCTCAGCGTGAGCATCTTCCATGAACAAGCTCAGATGAAAGCCCACAAAGCACCCAAATACCCCACGGCTGTGGTTGATGGGTACAATATGCAACAGAACCGGGCGTCTAACAGCCAAATAAACGCTCAAGCGAGCCAAGCATTGGTCTGAAGAGCACTCAACGCGTTCTCAGCTCTCACACCAGCACAGGCTACCGGGATCAGCACAAAGGCCGACGGGTCAGCCTCGGGCTCCACACGCTGCTGTGAGTGGGCTCACACTTCCAGTTCCTTGTTATCCACACAAGAACGGACAGGATGCTGCACAAAAAGGTGGCCCCCGCAGTAGATCGCAGACACCGAACCGGCGGCTCCCGCAGAGCATCGCGGCAGAGCGGAGGCAGGAGCAAGGCCACCGCATCACCAGGACATTTTGGAAAGCCTCCCGGGGTTTCAGGCAGAAGATGCTTTGCTTTCTGGGAAAGGGACTTTCCCAAACTTCATCCTCCCTCTATTCCTAACACCTAATCATTAGGCTACCCTAGAACTTGGTTTCTACTGTGTTTAAAAAAAGCACATCAAAAGAAACAGTTAATCCCTCTGAAAATGAGATACATCCACAGGTCTCCTGACTTCCTCCCAGTGCTGCTGTAGCCACAGGAGCACCGCGTACTACAGCCTGCAAGCAGAGCGAAGCGTTTACCCTGCACCATGGGCTATTTCTTTTCTCCTTCCCTCTCTCCTTGCAGAAAGCCCTTTGCCGCCTCACAACAGCATCCTCTCAGTCACAGCTTGAAGCCGGCCGCCACTTCCCAACCCCGGCGCGAGAGCCTGTCCTGACATTTGTAAACTTCTGTTTTGAACAACGGCTCAGCACAAAACTTAACTTGTATAACCTAGGCTCCGGGCTTGGCCCCTGTTCAAACCTCCCCAGCGGTCCCCCAGCCGTACAGAGGGACCCACACAGCCTCCGAACTAATTGAATTTTAATGAGAGGAAGTCGTTTTTCCACTGGAAGAATGTTGTGCTAGAGAGAAATATTTTGAAACTCCCCTAACCTTTCCTGCCAGGCTTTTTTTCTGCAGCAGAACACGAGCGGGGAAGTCCCCATCTGGGCCCTCGAGTGATGCCGCTTTGCTTCCAGCCCCAGCTAGACCTGGAGCTTAAATAATTACATCTTTCAAAATAAAACAAAAAGCATTTGGGGTTTTATTTGATTTCAGTCCTGACAAGGAGAATATAAATTCCCACTACTTAGAGCTCCTGCTGATCCGTGCTCAAACACAGCCTAAGCCCTCCCCGGCGCTGCCATCCATCCCACTCCCAAACCAACTGGGTTATTTTGATTTCCAGCAAAAGCGACAAACACCTAAGAGCCAGGCAACTCCCCGGGCGCAGAAGACACTGGGGAGCATCTTGTTAGCTGAGGTTTGCAGAGCGCTTGTCTACAGGACAGCAGCAGCTTCATCTCATCGTTCTGCATTCGGTCCAGAAATTAGCAGCTTTCCAGGAATCCATCACTTTAACACTTTACACCCATTTCCCGTTGTTCTGAGCCACAATTTTCTCTACACGGTTTCTGCGTAGGCTGGCAGATTGCAGAAAGAAGAAAGGAGGGACCAAAGGAAATTAAGTTGCTGAGATATGAAGGAAATTAGGTTGCAGTCCACTGCCTTCATGAAACCTATTAATTACATTCAGTTTAAAGCTGCTGGTATCTTGATTAGCATGTGTGTGAATACCCTGAAAGCCCTCTTTGTCTGATGAGGATGGCAAGAGAAAAAAGGACAAATACCAAAACCAGAGAGGTTTTTTATATATATGCTGTATAATATCAGTACACATGTTATAAGACAGAGGGAAGAAAACACTTGCTAACTGCCCAGCTGTCAGTAAGCGCCTGCAATGACCTTGTAGCTGCATCTTGTTCCCAGAACAGGCAACAGGCTCCAGTGGAGGGGAACGTTTGCTCCACTTTACCCCACCTCCCAAGGTCAAGGAGGTTCCACAAGCCCTCTGAGCTTGTACCCCCAGACAAGTCCTTTCCAGCAAGGGAGCTGTGGCCACCCCCAAGGGAAGGGCCAACAGCGGAGCATCGCCACCCAGAAACGTGTGTTCCCTTACCTGGCAGAGGGATCGGCAGCGCTAAACCCAGGTGAGCACTAACAGCCACCCGGGAACCTCTCAAGCTCCAGAGGTGGTTATGGAAACTGCGTTACTTTACAAAATGGAGTAGCGTAAAGCATAGGTTTCTTATCCAGTTTGGATGCGATACCAAGCTCTCTAAGAGGATCTACTAGATCCCCAGGTCCAGCAGCTCCCTACAAGAGCTCACTGCTTCATATAACAGCTCCGCTTAAAATACAGCATCCAGCGCGGCTGCTGAAATTTTTGGCAGAACATCCAACACTTGCGAAAGACACTCCAGTGCCCATGAAACCCAGCTTTTACTTTCCATTTTAATTGTTAATCTTCCCAGGGAATGTCTATTCATTTAATACTATTTAGAAGTTCAGCTCTAACTCTGTAACTGAGATTTTGGCAGCACCGTTCAGTCCATGCATTTTTGCTCTGCTTACAGCAGACCAGCTCCCAGATGTTGGTAATGTTAAACAGACTGGAACTTTCCTTCCAAGTGACAGCAAAATGCAGACAAGAGCTGGCTTTGCTACGGCTCTAATTATCCACCGATCGGAGATATTCCCCATCCCTTTGCTGGGTCAGGGAGGCCTATGAGATACAGCTCTTCCTTCCACAAAAATGTAAGTAAGGAGATGAGATCAATAGGTCTTCGTTTACACTCCATTGCACCAGCGCCGGTTTCAGAGAAGCAATTCTAGCTTGCAAGAAAGATCAAGGAGAAGATTCCCATACACATGAAAGCCTCAGAAGTGCAGCAGACCACAGAAGTTGAGATTGCCAGTGAAATGCATATATTAAACTAGCTGCTGAACTATGGGAAGAACTTCTACCATATGTACCTTGTCTATAAATAACCCTCTATCTCTCTGCTTAAATCAGAGGAGCTCATGGGAACATGCCACCCATCGCAATTTTGGTTTGCTTTTTAAAAGCAGTTGCTGTGTGGGAGGTGACAGGGCTGCCAAACAAGCTGTCGAGGAGAGTCCCCTTATGGCATGGTGCAAGAAACCAAGAATCAATGGCCAACGTGTGGGAAAAGCACAAAGTCCTATAGCCTCAGAGTGAACTGCCACTTGCAAGGGAGCTGCTTTCCTCGGCCTTCATTTACTGCCCCTGCAACATTATCTAAATCATTACATGAGGATGAATGAAAACGCTGTGAGCCCTTCCCATGCTAAACAAGCCAAAAGCAGAAGAGCTACAGACCTACAAGATCCCAGTGCAGGGACTGGTCTAGAACCCCAGCAAGGGCATGAAACCAGAGAAGCAGAGGAGCTCACTCCAACAGGTCATTTGGCCCACTGTTTTCATCGTTACTACAGAAAGCATTTACCTAGTCAAACAAAAACTTTCAAAAAATTAAATTGCATAAGATAGTGTTCTATTATGCAAAAATCTCATACAAGTTTTAAAAGTGAGCTGTAAATACCTCATCAACCAGAAGCCAGCTCATCGTCTCTGTGGAACATCTCCAGAGCTGTTCAATGTCATGACTTACCTCAAAGACTTCCTCATCCAATATCCTTGTTCCAAATACAATGATGCCGTTAACGTCAATGATGGGATGGTCACTTCGGTCCAAGAACTTGGTTATCTTCTTTTTACAGTCCAAAATCAAGGTGACATTTTTCTTCTGCACACTGATAGCTACCCTGTGCCACCTAGAAGAACAGAGTCCGCAAACGTGTTAAACAGAGCCTTGGACTTTCAAGAACAAGCTAACGATTGTATAACAATGAAGCTTTTCATAAACTGATGTTCTGCAAACTCATGAAAATCACCCTTGGGCAGACCCCAAAGATGTCATTTGAAACAGGAAGGCTGTATTGACAGATGATGCCGTTCGCTTCCCATCCCTCCAAAACAGGCAGGAGAGCGCCAGTTCTGGCTTCAACAAGAGGCAGGTGACAAAGCCACACGGATAACTCCCTGGCTAATCCCCCTTTTCCACCCTCCTTACGGTCCTGCAAAAGGCTCACTGGGGATTTTGCAAGACAAACTGATTTCTTAAGGCCCTTTGCAGCAAAAGTCAACAGCACTCCTATCCCCATAGGAGCCAGACAATTTGCACCGACGGGTGTTTGGGACGTTTTATATATACAGTATTCATTCACCAAAGGGCAAAGTTCAAGAATGGGACACTTGGAAGTAGTCAAAGGTGTGTATATACATTTATATATACATGACTCCTATTTTACACAACGTTCAACATGCTGGTATTGATATAAACAATGTACTGGGTTTGTTTTTTTCCTTTGTGCACAAAATTTCACTTACTTGCCATCTGCTAGGTTAATGCCTCTAAAGAGAGGATAGTCTTCTGGGCCTGGCTTTCCTGTATGGTCTTCATACAGGAATACAGGAGATCTACCCATCTCCACACCAATTTGCTGGATCCCTTGCTCATTGTAAATTGAGATCAAGAAGGACTGACCTCCTTTCTTCGCTTTTACAGTGGTTAGAATGGAGAAGTCCTCTGGGAATGGGGAAGCTGGAGTGGAAAAGCAAAGAGGTTAGTCAGGTTTCCTTGAAAATTAATCCCTACAGAAACAGTCCTGTCATCTAATGACCCACAGGGAGACCACTGGTTTATCCCTCCAGATGTGTGCACATCAACCTTAAAACTTTATATTGGGCAGCATCTTAGTGGCCACATGAAGAACTGGTTTACCCCCAAAGCCTATTGTGATACGGGCTTGGGATGGGCTGCAACCCAAAGTAGACTGCACCAGCAAAGCCAGTGTAGAACAGCATCCTCCAAGGGTTACCTGCTCTAATGGCACATTAAAACCTCAGGTGCAGGACTGAACATCTCTGAAGGTCATTTGTTTATGATCAGAAAGCCTTTTTCTAGCCCTTATTGCAATCTGCCACAGAGCCAAAAGCCACCACACGTTTGAACCTACAAGCAAAGGATGGCGAGGGATCTACTGGTTTGGGATGAGACCATAGTGCTGGGGAAACAGAGGTTTTAAAAAAGCTGTTGGTTTAAATCTGTATTATTTGCACCTAACCCTTCCTTAGTGCACCCTAGAGCTTTTTAGGAGACAAGGCAAAGACTTTGTTTCCATGTATCATGAGGTCCCCAAATTAATTTAAGATGACAGAGGGACAGAGGAAATGAAGCATCCCGTGCCAATGAGGCACACACAATATTGAAGGGTTTTATTTAAGGCAGTGGGAAGTTGCATCAGGTTTTGTCTATTCCAGACAAGACAGAGCATTCTGCACCAACCCTGAAAGCCAAAGCCACAGACACAAAAAAATCTGAAAACAGAAATAAAACTGGCAATCAGTAGGAGATGCTAATTTGTCTGCATATTTAAAAGCATCTAACAAGTTTCCTAGCCTCTTCTCCTCTCAAGAAAGCAACCCAGCGTGATCTCAGGTGATTTGTCTGTATTTTTGCAAGGTTTGAAGGATTAAAGCCATTAACCTACGGAGCAGGTACGGTCAGTAGAGAGGCAATGCTCTACTCAGGGGAAGGGTCAATTCCCTGCGATGTCAGACAAATGAATTTCAAGCTTCAAGTCAATCTGGGCATCGAGTCACACCCTGGGCAGGATACAACTCCTCCGTTTGGGTTTTCTCTGCCATTCAGATTGGAAAGTTGCGCCTCCAGGCTTTCCAGTTTGGGCTCATCCCAAACAGGACATCTTAAAAACACCAGAAGCATTGGCAAAGGAGCTTTCTCGATCAAATGATTATTGGAGATGGGATCTACTGAAAGATTGGGTACCTGCAGGGCATAACCTCCTCAGACGCTGCGTTTCAGCAGCGCGAGACTTGCAGGGTATCTTTCCTTTAAGGTCCAGGCTTTCAAAAACAAGGATTGCATTGTACGGCTGGGTATCTGCTTGGGAAATCTTAAACCACGGGCAGGGCAGAGCCAAGTGGGGCAGCCCCGCCATGGGCACCGCGGCGTGGTGTGTGCCGGGACCAACTACGTGTGTGGCAGCCGGCGGCACGCAGGGAAGGGAACGACACAATGGATCGTTTTTAAACTGCAGATCCGTGGCCATATAAAACCACAAAAAGAAAAAAAGAAAAAGAAAAAAAAAGGAATGTCAAGCTCGGTGCCCATAAGCTTCAAATAGATTTCCTTCACCCCTTTAGGCTTTTCTTAGATGGCATCCCAGGGCTGCAGAAGGGATTTTGACCCAGGGAGGGGACTGGGAACATGGGAGTGGGGAATTCTTCCAACCACAGCAAGTTCAAACGCAAAGAGGCCGTGAGCTCACCCTCTCCTCTTCTGCCTGGGAGTTACTTTAACTCTTTTTAACAAACCAGCGTTTAAAACGCCTCTAGCTGCCTCGCACGGGGCTCCGCCGCTGCAGCGGAGGAGGCAGGAGGCATGGCCAGGCTGGGCTGCCCCAAAAACGCTGCTACAAACAGCCTGTGCAAACAGAGGACACCCAGGGGGACATCCGAGGATACCTACAGAGACACATTGTGTTTGCACCAAGTTATGTCCCTCACCTTAGTTAAACAGCGTTTGGAAAGAAGCATAAAGGGGTATTCTGAACAGAGGACTCACAGTCGGGTAATTAAATGCCATGATTATAGCCCGATTTCCCCCTAGGACACAGAGCCCGATATTTGGCAAAGGCAGGCATCCGATTATTGTGCCTGCCATAGGATGCGCTGAGCTTTATCTCCCTCCTGCTGTATACAAATCCTCCCGTAGCACGGAATCAAGACCATACGTCTTCCTGGTTCCAATTACAGGCTACAGTTTTGGGCCTTTTATGTAAAATAGTTCATGTCCAAAATTTCATTATGAATCCACAATACAGTACCTTTCAACTTGGACAAGCTGCCAACTCATTAAAAAGCTGCTTTTAATTTTTTTTTCATTATTATTAAAATGTCTCCATGGTGATGTGAGTTTCTCAACCCAAATAACCATAATGGATGAATTACAGCTGACATTACTCTGTTACTGCTCTGCTGTCCTGGCAAAATAACAATGCCTTCACTGTCATAGCTAGAAATGGCCCAGGCTTTTGAATGATGTATGAAAACGCATCCACACAGACAGCAATACTAATAAATACATCATAATAAATATACGAAGCACATAGAAATTGACCCCAATCCCCTTAAAGACAATGGAAACATCCCCCCAACAACAGGTTTGGGATTAAGCCCTTGTACTCGATTCGCATCTTCAAATGAGCTCATGCTGAGAGATGCTGCACATCCATCTCCGCTCTTAACGGCGCTGCGCCGAAGCTGAATTTGCTTCAGCATCGCTCTGTCACCCCATGGCCTCGTCCTTTCAAATTCACTACATGCAACCTCCTGCAAGGCAGCAAAGAGTTAAGACTCCAATTCTGCAGATGAAGCCATGGAAAGAGCCGAGGAGGTCCGGGGTGGGCACAGATGCCTCCACCCCATGCTGATGCCCTTAGCTCCACTTGAGCAGATTGCCATCTGGGGTACGCCCCAATATGCAAACCAGTAGAGTCACACTGAGTTTCTTCTCTCCCGAGTACCACAAGCAGGGATTAAAGGCTCTTGTGCAATCTCATGGTCTTCAAAACAGGGACAGCTTGGACACCTTCCTAACCCAGATCCTGCAGGTGTATCCAAACAGCCTACAATAAAGAGCCCTGCTGCTGGTGTGGGAAGGACAGGAAAGCTTTAGCTGCTTAATAGCAGAAAATCAGCAGAAACAATGAGCTGATCCAGTTCCTGACACAAACACAAAGCAGATCTGTTGCGTGAGGTGGTGTCATTTCCAGAGCCACTTTTCAAAAGAAAACAGCTCTTCAACGGTGTCACCAACTTCTGGCCTTTTTCTTCATCTGAGAAGGCTCTCAATTTTGCTACGGCTTGTTTCCCTCCGAGATGACTGTTCAAGCTATAAGAGATTTTTCGGCTCTTAAATATATACGCAGACACCCACAAGCAGTGCAGAGAACAGAGAGTTTGCTAGAAGAATGCAAATGACATTTTGCTGCCTGCCACTGAAAACTTTGCCTTTCTTGCCTCTGCTGGAGGAGCACAGTTTTGGTGGGAAGCAGAACTTATTTAGGGAGCAAGGACAAAGAGCATCTCAGCAGATTTTCTCACTCTTGTGGGCTTGAAAAAACAGACAAGCTTTTAGATATATATATATCTATCTCGCTTTGCTGGCTGTGGAAGCAGAATGCAAAGCCCATAAAATTACCATCTTAGAAAAGCACCGACTTCTAATTAGCACAAAATATTATGTGCGGTGTACATTTGCCGAGGGTGCTCTATAGCAGCGGGGGAAGGTTATGCTATAACCCACCCGCCTGTTAACGTGAAATCCCTAAAACCACATTTCCCCTGGTACATTGCACTGCAATTACTTTGTTATCTTTATCTCCTCTCACATTCATTTGGTGGTGTGAGCTGAAGTCACATCTAGTTATGGAGATTTACTGAGGAAACATCTGTTGATCTGATGGAAAACACTGGGTGTTCTTCACTTTGCTCTTCCCTTCTGATTTCTTTAGCAAGCAACAGAGTAGACTCAATGACTTTGGAAGTCCCCAGAGAGGGACAGAGCTGCTTCTAGCACCCCATGGTTGTCCAGGTGATGGAATGATTGAAAAGTTGCTTGATGGCACCAAGGAAACACCATCCAGATCTTCGCACCCAAGGAAGACAGTAGATGCAAACCAAGAACTTAAAGAGGACATACAAGTAGTAACATGGGACAAAAGCAAGAAAATCTCCTACAATGCCGAGTTCTTTCCTGTGACCACAATTCAGTGCTGCATGTTGTCTTGTTGTGTTAACCTTTGTTGCAAGTGGTGTCAGCCAGGTTCTTTGCTACATGAGCCAGAATACTCCATCCTTGTGTTTTTATATCTCAGGGTCACCACTGTTTACTGGTTTCCATAACACAATGGTGATCAGGCAAGGTCTCACAGTGGCTACAGCAACTCCTGGAAAGCTCTCAAATGCACTACAGTTGTATGTTCCAAACTGGAACCCTTTCCTTCAAGCGCTTCTGAGCTCGAAGGGACCAGTTGGGTCAAAATTTTGAGACATTTCAGATACATGTAAAGAATACACACAAGTGGTTAAACACACTCTGGTTGAGCTGATCTTGCCTTGGGAGAAATGGATGGACTCAGGGGTCACTGCAGGGCTCTTGCAGCCCGTCCCTGGGGTGAAGATTCCCCATATCCACAGGCACAGTCCTCTGGGATATGAAGGCACAACCTGGCAGACGGGTGCAGTTGGCAGTCAGGCACATGATGATATTATCTATAGTCAGAAAGGACTGTCCTGTCCTGGGCAGCAACCAAGACAAGGGTAAACTCTGTTCTGCACTTCTGCAGACATTGAAACAGGGCTTTGGCAAAACTGAGCAGCATCTTCGCTAAGGGTGGACCATGCGATGGAGGGCTACCAGCCCGCAGCCCAGGCACAGCTGCTCTCTTCTCCATGTCAGGCTCTCAGCTCGTATGAGAGACACAAGGTACGCTCCTGCTCACCACAGGCTAAATATAATTCACGTGCTTATTGTCACAGCAGGATAATAATGAAGGCTGAAAATAACCTTAGTGATAACACATGCAATAAAGGAAATACAGGACCGGAGGATGCAAGCGCATCGGCACTCCAGCCCCGGAGTCCTCGTTTAAGCCATTGACAGGCTGGGTCTGATAGATACAGCATGTTAATTAAAAAGCATTGGTTGTGGCATGCCACATTATCTCTGATTTAGCTAACGCATTTTGTATCATTAATTCTCTCACAAACACCAAAGGAGAACGTGTGTGCCTGTCCGCTTTGCTTAAGTCATCCACTGCTTCACAGACAAGTTACACACAGCGTCTTTCTGCCTCATTGCTAAACCTTCTGCAAAGGCACTTTTCTCACCAAACCTAGAAAATCCTACCGTGCCCACTCCCAGCGTCCCTGCGCTCCCCCGTGCGAAACGGGGATACAGCGGTGCTCCTGCAGGGCTTTGGAAGGAAGACTTCTCGTGGTGACTACGTGTTCAATGCCGAAGCTCTGAGGCAGTGAGTAGTCTGGGTCCGTAATGTGTCCAGTCTTTTTATAAGCACATTTTACTCTACAGTAGCGATTGTCCCTTCGCCTAAAAAATTTAAAAAACTGCAGTACATCCTCAGTGACAAATAAAATGGTCGGTAGCCCACATGCTCCTCAAGGGCTTTGTGAACCTAGTGGCTTTCTCCAGTGAACCTCCGATTTCTTCAAACGACTTTTCTTGGGACATCTGTTCTTGTGGGGCAGTCTATTATTTTTATATGGTGATTATTTGTGTTATGAGTGACACCGCAGCCACAGAATAAGACCCTACTGTGCTCGACGCTCCACAAACGCAGAACAAAACATGGTCTGCGTTCCTTTGCATCTTCCAAGTCTCTCTCCCCAGCTGGATGTCCCTGTGTGATAATGAGACAGCAGAAGCTTTCTAATATAGGAGGGAACAGATGTAGGCATTGGCCACATCTTCTGCAGTGAAACCCGCCACCATGTGCAAAGGCAACGATAAAAGAACAACTTACTGCAATGTTATTTGAGGGTTGAAAGTTTGCAGCCCCCTCAAACAGCAGAATCGCTCCCTGCCAAGGGAACACGCAAGCACACTTGGAAAATGAAGGAGTTACGCAGTGCCCTATATGTGCCTGCGGAATCTGAGCCAAGGATCAGATATTTCCATATGACAAATAAAAAGCTGCGGACTCACCAGGATACAGCTGCTTTGTCGGCGCACTAAGTTGAGCATCTTTTGTTACTCTATAAGCAACATCTGCTTCTTTTGAAGATCTTCTGCTTGTGCAAAACCCTGTTGTTTTTGTTATACCATCAGGTAAATTATGAAAATCTAATACCTTCAAGAGGTCTGCAGGTTCAGCTGTAAAAAGAAAAGGAGAAAACAAGAATTAGCAGGCAATAAGACTGGCATTTGCTCAGATCCAAGTTGTTATTAGCCTGCCTCACACAAATCGTTCATCACAATTTAAAAAGCAGATGAAATATGTTTTCAATGCATCTGCAAATACAATGTTAATACCGGCTTCAAGGCTCGGCCGCCGTGCGTGGTCAGAGACACCAATTCAATGCAGAGAGGACCAGCTGATCAGCTGTCTGCGCTAGGGCAGAAGGGAGAATATACTATCTTATTAGCTACAGTAGTTCTATTTTCTGGATGTCTTCACCCAATCTCCATCGTTCAAGCACATCCTGGAGATTAAGCATCAGACAGGAAATTCATGATCTGAGAGAAAGGCTTTAAATCAAGAAGTTGCCATCACGCTGAGGCAAACGTTTCCATTCTTTTTTCTTAAGCTGATCAACCCAAAAAGTTGTTTGGAAGCAAATACCCCAACAAACTTCCCCAAAGGATTACGCAAACAGCCCCACTATACGAAACAACCACATGGAAATTCACACCAGCGGGGATAACAGGTAAACCCACAGCCCTGCCTTGGGCTATGAACCAGTTACGGCAGAGCAGCATCCAGCCCAGCACGGTGCTTCGGTGCTCACGGGCTGTTCCTGCTGCCCACGGGCTCGCCCAGACCCCAGGAGGGCTTGTGCCCAGCGTCTAACCCTGCCTGGGGTGAAGGCAGGTGGCATCGGGCAGGGATGCAGCAGGCAAGTGTACCCCGTAACTCAGCCCAAGCCTGGGCAAATCCCATCAAATAATCCCCCCTCTCTGCCAGGTATTCCCTCCACCACATAGCAGTATTTCTGCACAACCACCAGTGCATACGAGCATAAAATCACAGAATGGTTTCCATTGGAAGAGACTTTAAAAATCATATAGGGACACCTCCCACCAGCCCAGGTTGCCCCAAGCTCCGTCCAACCTGGCCTTGAACACCTCCAGGGATGGGGCAGCCACAGCTTCTCGGGGCAACCTGCCCCAGGGGCTCACCACCCTCAGAGCGAAGAATTTCTTCCAAATATCTCATCTAAATCTCCCTTCTTCCAGTTTGAAGCCATTCCCCCTCGTCCTATCACTCCATGCAGCTGGATGGCCAACAAAACACACATGCCTCACAGAAGAGGAAAAATCCACATGGGGGTTTGGACTAATGATGTGAAGCAAAAGGCTCCTTTCCTTCGCAGCCCTCCTCCACCACATCCCATTAGACTCAGACCCTGACTTTCTCGCTGCTGCAGACAGCGGAGAGCTTGTCTGACACCCAGCGCTCCCCACGCCAGCAAAGGCAGGGCTGGTTCACCTCCAGATGTTCAGGTCTCTAAGAACATTGATTAAGTAATGCAAGCGATACGCCTCATTAACTTCCTAATCTGGTCTTGCTCATGTCAGGAGAGATGGTGTCCCCAGAAGTGGAATAACCAGATATGACTTTAAACGCTTAAAAGAAATTATTTTGAATTTTGACTCGATACTTGGAGCAAAGTGCTGTCAGAAAGATGAACCACCCAACTCAGCAAAGCCCTAGCAGAGCCCAGAGCAAATGTCTGCACGACAGCTTCGCTTAGCCTTGCCCGGACAATACATCACAACTGTATCCTTTTGCCACTTGAGCCATTATTTTCCCCAAAGATTAATATTACTCAGACCCTCAGGGACAGCCACACATTAGACAGTCTGATGTTTGCAGTGATACCCAAGACCAAGCCCCTGGGCTGGCTGCCCCAGCTGCCTTCAGCATCTCGGGGCATCTCACCACCCTGCCTGCCCAAGGGTGCAGAGCTTATCACCAGCTCCCAGAACCCCCACAAACAACCCAGCTGCATTCAGGAAGGTGTGTGGCATCACTGCTACCGCAAATA